TGCCAGATCATTGCCTAGAATTTGACTCAAAAAATTTTCCCTCCAGAAATTATAATAAAAAATAAAGAGGAAAAAAAAACACTACTTGATAAGATGGTCCTGGACTTATAACCTAGTCACATCTAATCTATGTTTAACAAGGTAGTTGGATTGAATCCCCTATCATTGTGTTTAATCTTAAATACAAGAGCTAGATTGATGCTTATAATCTTTTCCTATATCTTAAGAAAAAGGGTTAAAAACATAAAAGCCCCATGTGGTATAGCTATTACACATAAAAACCACTTGTAGTTTCAAATCATACCTATCGGTACCCCATGGTTTGAAAGAAAGTGCATTTTCGATGAAAATCGTTAAAGGAAACGGAGGTAAGTGAAAAGACATAAATGCCCTAACAATATAAGCGAAAAATTGGTGAAGGAATTAGTCAGTTTGGCTGTTTCAGAACAAACGAAGAGAAAGAACCAATGAAGAGAGAGACAAAGAAGAAGAAAAAGCCCTAGAGAGAGAGAGAGAGAGAGGCAATTATCAGCCAAATTCCCGATTGTTATAGCAATCAAACTCCGACAGCGACAGGAAATACAAGGAAGTGAAGATTCGCTGAAAAAATCAAAGAAAAATGGGTTCGTATGCCGTCCCTCATCTATTTCGATTTGGGTTTTGGGTAGTTTGTGATTTTTATTGTGATTTACTAGTTTCATACTACATTTTAAGGTCATTATTTAACAAAAATAAGATTTTTGATATATATATATATATATATATATTAATGTTGTTAATGAATTTAATGGTTAAAGGTTTTACCTTTTGAAAGTTGCACTTAAGGAGGCACGAGCCTGCAGATTTTCCTCCTCGATCTTAAGGAGACACGAGAGCTTGAGCAATTCTTTGGTCAAAGAAGCTGGGTTGCTGCAAAATGGCGAAGAAGCTGATTGGCTTGAAGTTTTAATAAGTTGTCAACGGCACAAGAGGTATATCAACTCAAACTTTGAGTTAAAAAACCATTTTCCAAAGCAACCACGCTCCTTTTCAGTGCGTGGTTGATAATCGCATTTCCTTTAACGATTTCGTCGAAAATGCACTTTCTTTCAAACCATGGGGTACCGATAGGTATGATTTAAAACCACAAGGGATTTTTATGTGTAATAGCTATACCACAGGGGGCCTTTATATTTTTAACCCTAAGAAAAAATTATTTCAATGTTTAGCTATAAATATACAAGGTATGCAACCATTCCTTGGAAAAATATGATTTGACTTAGAGCTGTAAACGAACCGAATCGAACCGAATATCTCATGTTTGAGCTCTGTTCGTTAAGCAGTTCGAACAACGTTCGTGTTCATTCGTTAATTTTCGAACTCCAAACTTGTGTTCGTGTTCGGTTCGTTAAGTAAAATTCGTGTTCGAATTCGAGTTCGTGTTCAGCTAGTTTAACATAAACGAGCCGTTCGCGAACATGTTCGAAATGCTCGAATCCAAATTATTTTATGCTTTAAATATGCCATGCAAATTATTAATCATTCTCAAAAATAATTAAAGTACTAAGTGACTAAATTCTATTATTCATTAACTATATAACTAACATTAACATGAAAACAACAAATAAAACAAAGAAATTTGCCCTCCAAATATAAAAGTCCAGCCATAAAATTAACCCTAAAATTTGTCAAATGATAATTATGTCTATGTTCATGAACGTTCGTTAAAACTCAAGAATATACTCGTGTTCGCGAACGTTCGTTTAGCATGCTCGCGAACGTTCGTTAAAAACTCGCGAACATGCTCGTGTTCGCTCGATTATTAATCGAACAAAAAAATTCGTTTGAACTCGGTTCGTTTAAAATTTCGAACGAGCCTTTCACGAATACGAACGAGCCGAAATGAACCGAGCTAACGAACAGCTCGGTTCGTTTAACAGCTCTAATTTGACTTGAGCATACTCAAATGAGCCTCTTTACTTAGAAAATGGTTGATGAATATTAATTTCTTGAGAACCAATTTGTTTTTTTTAAGTTTTTTTTAACGGGTGTCTAATGGGTTCTCGTTAACACACTTAAAATACATCTAATAAATTGTGTAAATACATGAAGTAATAATTATTAATCCCCTTTGTATTTATATATTTTTTCTAATTAAATTTATTATTCTCCCTTACATTTATGCACTTTGTCCTAATTAACTTTACTTTTTTTTTTAAAGTTTAACACTTGAAATACATCTTGACGATTGTCAATTGGGCACTTGTTAAATGGACCCTTGTCTTTTTTATCACAATCCATTTAGATTAGTGTAAACTAGCAATTTTAGTTTATGTAAATGCTTCCTTTAAAAAAATATCTTTCCAATACCTATATCATTTTTAGTTGCACACGCCAGATATCTTTGGAGTTTTTTTTTTTTTTTTATCTACTGACTTCTTTATTTTGTACTTGCATTTTGACCTCCACGTAATAAAATGGCTAAGCCAATGATTATATCCAAAATGATTGGTACAATCTTATGTGCATAACGTATAAGTTATTGTACATCATACGAAACAAGAATGTAGTTCAAATAACACTTAGAAACGAATTGAATTGTTGATTGTTAGTTTGGATGACCATTTAAAACTTTGTCTTCAAGTTAAGGGATCAAATTGAAACATATTTTTAACTAATTACCCCGAACAAAAAACATTTTAAGGCATGCAGAAGAAAGAAAGAATGATAAGTAGACGACCAAAAGGGGGCAAAAAGGGATGGGAATGTGTTGTATAGATATTAAGACATTGTACAATTATTTATTCTTCTTACACATAACTCTGTTTTTCTTATACAAACCCAAATCATTTGTGTAACGGGTGCATAACGAACACATAAAAAGAGGTGCATTAAGTGTTCATTTTTTTTTAAAAGTTAAATTAGACAGAAAAGTGATTAAATGCAAGAGTTGAGAGTGTCCAAATTTATTACTTTATGCGTACAAAATATACTTGTCAATCATCAACCATTTCGTATGATTAGACGCTTTGTATTTAAAATATATTTTAGATCAGCAAATTTAGGGGTTTTCTGGAATTGCAATACATTTACTAGAAGAGTACTTTAGGCATAAAGGCATAATTCTAAAAGTTTTTGGTAAGTATCATTTCTTAAATTTAATAGAGAACTTTTGCCCATTAAAGCAATTTTAGCAGAAGTTCAAAATTTTTGTTTTTGGAATAAATTTATGTTAATAAAAAAAAGAAATTAACATTATACATTCTATCATAAATTTTGAAGTAGATGAAAAGATCAATATTTTATAAATTCAAAATTATATATAATCAATTAGATAAAAAAAACCACTTACGCAAGTATACACCCCAAACAAAATGATTAAATGTTTAATTAAGTACTTTGCCTAAAGCTCTACTCGTTGAGCTGCCTTCGGATAAATCGCCACATTCCAAAACGCGCACTCGGTGGCTTATTAAAAAATTTTCATGTAATAGAAATTTTGGTAAAAGTAGTTATTAAGCGTTTAATCATATTGTTGGATGTTTATGCCCATGAGTGCTTATTGTGTTGAATGAAATGTAATTTTAAAATTTTTTATATTTAATGATCTCTTTATTCAATTCAAAACATGATAAAATATAAAAATTTAATTATTTTTTGAAATATAAAAGTTATTCTAAAAGCACCAAAATTTTAGCTTTTGTTAGAATTGCTTTTGAGACCATAACCGCTAGTCCTAAAGTTACAAAATAATGTCTATAATACCTAAAAAGCACTTTTATCACAGAAAGTGCCCTTTTTTAACAACCGCACAACATTCCCAAACAAACTTTTAGGTGCTTAAGTGCTTAACGCCTGAGTACTTTCTAAGTACTATTGATAAAAATGCACATATCCTTATATATCCTTATAATATATAAGAAGACGTTTGAGGGTTACTGTTTATTTTTTTCATCTGCTCTCTTAGGGGCATTTTTGTCCTTCAAGCCTTTTGATTGTTCTTTTTCTTGGAGCTAAGACGTTTGGAGGGCTGCTGTCCAGTACAATTCATTTGCTCTCTTTAGGGGCATTTTTGTCCTTCAAACCTTTTGGTTGTTCTTTTTCTTCAGGGGCAGCTTTGTTGGTGTTTTGATTGGTGGAGTGGAGTGGACGGCGGGAGAAAAATCCTTTGCTTATTCATTGTTTCCTTGTGTACCCTTAAAAAATTCCTTTTCGTATGGTCATCTCTCTCTTATGAAGTGGGCTTTTTGGTCAATTAGTTTGACAAGATTGCTACGTTAAATCACTAAACAGTAATGTCAGGCCCCAATTTACTAATGCCTCCTCAAAGATGCTTGTCTTATGGGTTATGATATTTTTGATTGAGGCTAAAATTGGAAAGTAAGTTTTTTTTGTAGCCACTTGCATGTTTCTACGGTTTCCAATGCTATTTTCAGCAGAATCACAATCATATACGTAAAAAAACTCAATATGGAGATAGAGATGTACTATGCCTCATGAATATAAGCTCTGTTCTTTTAGCATTTACGTTTTAGGTGCTCTGCTGCTTCTGGTTACTTTCAACTTAAATTCCTCTGCCCGTCTGCATTTTCGTTCAATCTCATCCACTTTTTTTTGATGATTTTTCTGTTGTATGTATATCTTCAATAAATAACTACTGATTAGTTATTTTCCTCTTGCTTTGGATGCTTTAGTGCTGCATGGTTCAGTTCCCTGTGAATTTATGGTTTGCATACATGTGTTTTGACGTTTTTATTCTTTTTTTCCAGCAGCTACTTAATACTTGTGCAGATCTTTTGATCGGTAATGTTTCCTCACCTATATTTGGTTACTTTTGCTCTGACTTTCTCCATCTGCATGGTTGCATGAAATTTGATTTATATTCCTGTCCATCTTTTACGAAGAAGCATTAACTAACCATATTTTTCTATCATTTGTGAATTTTAGCCAGTAATATTAAAGTGCTTGTACTCACTGTTAATTATATGTATAAAGCAAAGCATAGTTAACTATATCATAGGATGAGTGGTTATAGTGATAGCGATAAGGTAGCTGCGCGAAAAGCTATTCATAATCAGAAGTTGGGGGAGAAATTTGATATGTGATCATCTGAGGAGAAAGAATTGCATCGTCTCAAGCAGAGAGAGGCCTATAAAAAGAGGAAAGCAAAAAAAAAAAAAACCTATTCATTGAAGTTATCAGAGAGAAACCAATAGTAAAGCTGTGATTTTGCTCTGCCCTGACATGCAAGTTACTCCTGATGAAGGTACAGATATTATTCGTTGTAATTACTTATTGAAATTTAGTATTGACCACAATTCTCATCTGTATGAATGATAATTATTCAGTGTGATTGTTTTTCTGCTAGGAGTGGTGGATATCCAACCTAACAAATGCTGTGAAGAATCTGTTAGTGCTTAGAATTTATCAGCTGGCAGCAATTTTGATCACCAACTGCAGGCTAAGATGCCTTTACGTACTGATAAGACTATTTTTAATTGGAAAAAAGGTAGATTTAATGCTATTGCATTGCCATTTCATTTCTGCTATTGTTTAAGAATTTTAGCCGGGAATAAGGGAAACTTTATCTAATGATGTCTAGACTGTTGGACAATTCATGTCTCCCAATTTTGAGTGTATAAATCATAATCACCTGCAATTTTCTCTTCCTTTAGATGCACTGCAACCTGCTGAGAAGCAGTCTTGCGAAGAAAATATCCATTCTCAGAATTGCATCAGGTCTAACAATATGCAAAGACAATTACAGTCCAATGAAGTTTTTGCAGAACGAAGTTTTACAGGCCACTGAAGTCCAGTTTGTAGCAAATGAAGGTTTATCCATACTGTTACATGCACAGAAACACACACATAGAGAGACTTAGTTATTTTTTTATTTGTTCAGTTATTTATTCGTTTCATCATGCATTGTATAGTTTTTATAAGCAGTTCGTAAGTGTACTTAGCCATTGCATAACGATTAGATGATTGATTATATACTTATTAATTTGTAGTTATTGCAACCGTTCTTGAGCAGTCTAAAGGAAATCTCAACATTTCTTTGTTTGACTCTTCAATACATGAGCAAGTTTATATTACTTTCAATTAATATACCGTGTCTTACCTGCTTAAAACCCATACTTCTTCGCTATGAATTTGATTTGCTTCTGTTTATCTTCTCTAGGTTCTTCTTCAAAACTGCAATGTCTCCATTAAGCCTTGCAATCCAATACATTGCAAAATTCAGGTTCATTTGCCTAACTATTTAGCTCTTTTTCTATCTTCTAAGTGTCATTACTCACTAACTACTCTTATCCAGCAGGTTAATCTCCAATCTGCAGCAATTTTTATAATTATCTTTCAAATGCAATACAAAGTACACCAAGTTTGCTATGAAAACATTCATTGTTGGTGCTGTTAGCCAATGTTACTTTAGCAATTGTTTTAAAATATTGCCTCAAATGCATTCATTTGTACTCTTATAGGAATTGCTGTAGTGCCTTCTCTGAATGATGTGAGACAACAAATTGTCAATGACAGTGATATTTCCATTAAAGTGATATTTCCATGATGTGAGACAACAAATTGCTGTAGTGCCTCTTTTGCATTAACAAGTTCATTTTAACTGATCTCATTGATCTTACAGCTAAATGTAATTCTGTATGAATAACTTTCTTTTAACTAATATGATTTTTGTTACAACTAAATGTACCGCTCAGTGATGCTCTACAAGATATCAAAATAAAAAGGTTATGAGGAAAAAAGATTCTTAACATATTATTAGTCTTTCAATTTCATTGCTCTTACTTTATGCATGGCTGCTAATTTAACTAAATATACCATTACTTACCTTAACCCTTTCAATTTATAATTACATAACAGCTCAAGTAACTAAGGGAACAGAGGCTCTCAGATTTATTATTGACGAATCAAATAAACTGCCTCGGGTTCCTGACTGCCATTTTCTACAGGTAAGCTACCTCAGTTGTTAAGGCAATCGCATGAGGATTTGCCTCTGTATCAAGGAAGTTGTAGTGAACATTCCAACTCTTTAACTTTTGCTTAGTTCACTCTCAAACCCTTATTGTCTTAGCAACTTCAAACAATTATTTTCTACAACTTCCATGTGGAAAAAGTTTATCAATATTAAAATCTAGAAATACTTTATGCAACATTAAAAGACAAATTGAATAATTCTGAGTGTGTTTGGATTGTAAAAATGTACACTTTATTTACACCTTATTTACACACAGTAACTTGCTTGCATCATCAACACATTTTCCAATCACCTTTTTATCTCACTATTAAAAATTCAAAGAATTCAAACGAAATTAAGGCAAGTTTGAAATTTTGTAAGCCTTTAAACTATTCAATTTTACTCCTCAATTATTTCAAATATTTTATTTTACTTTTCAATTGATCCTCAAATTTTTTTTCTAATACATGCAACGAAACACAACTCACAGACACCCCCGCGCCTCGTAGTAAATCATGCCTACAATTCAAATGCCATTGAATAGAGTTTTCAGATCTCACATTCTGGATGCTGTTTCAACTTATTGTCTTTCTTCTTGCAATTACACATACACATAGAGGAAGATGACTCCACAAGATTTATGAAAAGTTTCCCCCTCCTTTCTTTCAAGAAATACTCCGTTTTTTCCACAGTAACCATTTTTCTCGCAAAAGCAATAAGTTGTCAAAGAAATAAGCATCTAGCTTATTTATCAAGTTTGATAAGAGTGATGATGGACAGTTTGAAATGCCAAACTGCAAGCCAAGTATAATATCCTACAAAGTGGGTAATATTCAGGGGAATAGAGATTTTCAAAGTTTTTTAATTATTTTTTATTGGGATTTTGTGGTTGCCAAATGGAAGTACATTTTAAAATGCATGTAATCTTAAATCCTTTTACATAACCTGAGTGAGTCAAATTTATTTTAAGAATTAAACAATCCTGGAAATTTAGTTACATTGATCCCAAGTTGAGCATTGAAATAAACATTCTTGTCTAATGAGAGTGTTTTGAACATTTGATAGATGTGACGGGAGGGTTTGATAGGACAACTCCTTCTTACTTTTCTAGCCCTCTAGATTCTGATTATATGGATGTGTTTTCATCTAATTATGCCTTTTTATGTAATTTAGCTTTTTTAACTTTTTACTTATTCTTGGAGACCGTTTTCCCTCTGAATTCTGTCAGCCATTACTATTCATTGCATTTCATCCCCTCTTCTCTAGGGCATTTTTGTCATTCCAGCCTCTTGCTTGTTCTTTTTCTTGGAGCTGGTATAACTGGTTACTGCTTTTATTTGGAGAATGTCTTTTCTATTCTTATTACACAACGTTTTTTTGTTATTGCTCTGGAAAACTCCATATCTGTGTTTTCACGGTAGCCTTCTACTTTTGCTATTGGAAATTGTTCTTCATCTGACTCCATATCTGCTTTTATTTTTTGCATTCACATCTCTTCGCTCTATCCTGCTACCACTTACACAAGTGGCATCTAAATCACAGGTGTCCAAACATCTGAGGCGTTACCATGCCTACATCTTCCCTGCCAACTACCATTGCTTCGCTTAACACTAGCTTCTGAAGCCACTAGCGCTTTTGAGGCCATTTCTATCTATTACCAGATATTTGCCAACCCTTCATCTTCCTTCATCTTCTCCAGAGGCCCTAACAATAAAAGAGCAGGCCATGTTCAATCTCTCTGATCTGCTTAGGCAACAAAATAAGGCGAAGGAATTTAAGAACCTTTTGACCCTACAAGGAAGCTCATACTTAATGGTGTAGCAAGTTACACTACAGATTTGTTAGCCTGTTATTATATAAAATGGCTCAGTAATCTAGAATTATATCGTTACAAAGAATGATTTGCTTGTTGAAGTTCCTGACAAAAACATCTAGCTTCTTGTTGAAGAATTGAACAACTCTGACATTAAGTTCCAGTTTATTTTCTTTTCCCATTTTTGTAATGGGTTTAGTTTCTTAAGTTACCAAATTTAGAACATTCTCATGTTCTTTACAATGCTTGCTATCTGTCTAAATTAATTTTTCATGTACTTTGCATCATTCACTGAAATCATGATATAGAACTTGACCTTTGACTTGATATTGTTTTCTTTTCTTGCCAAGTCTGTCTGCCGTTGTTTGTTTTGTGTAGGCGCTATTCAGAGTTTGAAGACTATTGGACCTTTTAAGCTTTAAAAGTCTTGTTCTCTATTTTCTTGGAAGAGTTGGCTGCAAGAAGCATTTGACAAGGTATCTAGCTCTGTGAAAACTTTAGAACCTGCTTTTCAGGTATCTGTTATAGTTTGTACTGCAGTGGATAATTATACTGATCTTTCAATATCTGTTATTCCATTTACTTCATGAAATATGGAACGAGTCACATGTTGCATCACATTGCAAAAATTGCTATTATACTAACATGGAAAACCTTTCCAAATAATCTTCAACCCAAACAGGCTCTTCGATTTTCAATCAAGGAAAAGCTTAAACTTTTTATCCTGTTTTAAGTTTCGATCCAGTGAACAAATAAAAACTAATATCAATCTTGTATTGTCCATTTACACTTTCAAACATCACCTGGGAAGTGAGAAGCATATTTATACGATGTACATTTCTGGCTTGGAAAGGATACCAGCCAGGCATCCTCCACCTCTTTTTAATTGTGTAAAAACCATTTTTGGGGTTAAATTTAACTTTCATTCTGAAACTTTGGTAATAGGATGAGGCTGAAACAGCAGCTATCAAAATTGCTAAATTTACCCTCTCCAGCACCAGCTCTGTGACCCTTCCATTTTTGCATTGTGACTCCTCGCCAGTAGCATGCATCAGGTAGGAATTCTTTACCCCACTGAAGAATACTGGTAGGGCCTATTGAAAATTTCAAAGCCAAAAGCACCTCACCATCGCTTGGCAATAGTATTAATTCATATTCAATACTCCAATTACTTTATCCTTTTGAATCAACATCATATCAACCATCCCTACTTTTTTGAACTATATATATATATATATATATATATATATAAAATATCATAATAACAAATATAACCTTACTAACAGGTCTAAAGTTCCCACGCCTTGCGTGGGAAGCCACCCCTAGTAATATAATATATAAGAAGACGTTTTTGGGCACTGTTCATTTTTTTCATCTGCTCTCTACAGCCGCATTTTTGTCCTTCTAATCTTTTGCTTGTGTTTTTTCTTGGAGCTATTAGAACTGATTGTTGCTTATTGTAAGCCTCAGCCGAATGTTAGTGAAACATTGATTGTTGTGCAGCATTAATGAGATATGATGTTTATTTCTATCAGCCAGCTCATTGTCTTGTTTAATTACATTTTCCTCCCTCAAAATAGTCATTGAATAGACTATATATTTTCAGCTGATGTCTAACAGAGTCATTTTACAGTAGCTTTTTACTTTTGCTGTTGTAGACTAGAAAATTGAGCCATCTCTTCTCCCTGTTCTATCGGTGATGCTTGTATATCTACAACTGCATGTATTTTCAACTCATCCGCTAGCTTTTGCTTCCTTTATTCATGCTATAAACTGTAAACCATGGCTTCATCCGATCCACTTGCACATTCAACGAATAAGAACATTATTCGCAACCGAAGATCAAGAGAAAAATATGCTTCCTTATCAGTGGAAGAAAAAGAAGCTTGTCAAGCTAAACAGAGAGAAGCTTATCAAAAGAGGAAAGCAAGGAAAGCTACTAATGGTAACTGATTCAGTTTTTAGCTACTTCTCATGCATGCACTATTCAAGAATTTCCCAAAAACAAATTTTTAGAGTTATGGCAGACTGGAAAAAAAGGACAAGTTTGAAGAATCTAAACAAAAATCAATTGATAAGCTAAAGGATCTATAGGATCTAAAGGATGCAAAGGAAAACAACTAACGATCAGAAAAACAAGCTACAATCACTCACTCATACTTCTAAATTACTTTCTTGATAAATAAAGAGGAGAAAAAGTTACTTCTGAAGTTTTTGAGTGTTCTGTTTTGTTGCCTTAATACTAAATTTTAAAAAAAATACTTCTAGGAAAAAGAACTTCCAGTTGGGTGCAACTTACAGCAAAATAATGAGCACAATAACCAACAGAGTATTGCTATTAAACAGCTTCTACAACAGGGTGGAGACAAAGAAACTAATCTGCAGCAATCCGTAGCTGTAACCGATGCTAAATCAAGAGGCAAGCTGAAAACAACAATAAAAGAACAATAACATAGTGGATAAGCAGTTTTTAGCTACTTCTCATGCATGCACTATTCAAGAATTCCCCAAAAAAAAAATTTTTTTTACCTAATTACCAACGGATATTAAACTTGCTTATGAGAAACACATAGATGGAGTATGGCAGACTGGTAAAAAATTGAAAGTTTGAAGGATCTAAACGAGAACCAACTGATAAGCTAAAGGATCTAAAGGATGTGAAGGAACACCTAATCTAATCTGCAGCAATCTATAGCTGTCAAAAGTAATTCTCTGTATAAAACCAATGCAATCTACACAAATTGTTTCTGTATTCTATGTTTATACAAGCAATTTTTGACATTTAAACATAGATATTTTTTGTTCTTCTATGTTTATAATGTATTATTTTATCTTATGTTCATATAGGTTCGCCCATTTATAAATGCAGAAGAATCAATAAACTAAATGTGTCAGGTATGTTTTGTTCATATAGGTTCTTCATCAAAAAAGTTGCCCATCTATAAATGCAGAAGAATCAATAAACTAAATGTGTCAGGTATATTTTGTTATAATCATAGTTATCAGTCTATGTTTCATATAACAATTTCTATGCTTTTATCTGCTAGATGATCCTCCTATATGTGATAGCTGCTCTAATTTCTTGCATGAAATAGTTGATGATCTTGCAGGTTGAACTCCTTGATCCTAATTTTACAAATATTTGTCCAGTGTTGTTTGGTCACTGAATTTGATTTACGTTCTCACACATTCTTATTTGCTTAATCAGGTATATCAATGACAGTTGGCAGTCAGTCAGTGGAAACCAATGTTTCTAATGCCATAAAAAATCATCCAAAAGGTATGTATAACTAAAATGTATCTGAAAATGTTGCAGAAGTTATATACTCTGATCAGGAGCATAATCGTTTTTACCTCCTGACTAGCCACATTATTGTTCTGTAGGCAAAAGCTCAAGCCAAAGGAGATCAGGTATGAGTGCAAAACAAAGGTGTCATTCCTATATATTTATTTATAGTTCTTTCATATGCACATAACATAGTGATAAAAATGCTTTGTATTCCTATTATTCTACAGTATCTAAAAATGCAGCTGGTGTAGAGGCTCTGAATTTCATTAGCCATAATGCAGACCATCTCCCTGATGCATCAGATTGTAAATATTGTGGAGCCAAAAAATTCTACTCAGAGACAGCAAACTTTTGCTGTTCTGATGGCGAAGTTCTACTCCATGAAAATAAGTTACCTGATATATTAATTGAACTTTTTACTGGACAGAGTGAAGAAGCTATACATTTCCGAACCTATGTTAGGACCTATAATAGCATGTTTGCATTTACTTCCTTTGGTGTTCACTATGACAAATCCCTTTGCAAGAGAACTAACGGAATCTATACATTCAAGATACAAGGTCAAACACACCATTTCATCAATGAACTAATACCGCATGGAGGATCAGGGATGTATCTTCAGCTTTATTTCCATGACACAGAACATGGAATTCAGAATCGATTAGCAATATCAGAAAGGCTGACCGAAAGAATTGTAGTGAAGCTAATGGAAGTAATGAAAGACAATCCATATGCTTGCTTCTTCAGGAGTTTGAGAAATGTTCCAAACCTGGACTCATATCAAATAGTATTAAAATCTCACTCCGACAACGACCAGCGAGTGTTTAATAAACCCACTGTATCTCAAGTTGCAGCTTTATGGGTTGAAGGAGACAATGCTAATCAAGGTTATTCTAGACACATACAGATATATACAAAAGAAGGACACAGTCACCGCATTCAATACTACTACGGCTGTTATGACCCTCTTCAGTATCCACTACTTTTTCCATTTGGAGAAACTGGATGGCATCCAGGTATACAAAGATCAGGAAGAGGCAATCCAAAAAAGCGCAAAAGAAAGACTACGAAACAGTCATGTACAGCTACATTGTCTAGCTTTAAGTCACCAGAAGAAATGATTGATCTTGAAGAAGAAGGTAACACATTTATACCATTCATTATGTATAGTTGTATTCAATTGCAGTCATCTCTTCTTTGACAAATATTCTAAATTTTACAGCTTACAAGGCATATGAAAACTCCAAGGAATATGTATCCATGAGAGAGTATTATGCATATAAATTTCAGATGAGGAAAAAAATTGGGCCAAATATTTTGAATGCTGGAAGAGCTTTGCAACAATATTCAGTTGACATGTATGTTAAAATAGAGACACAAAGACTAGATTTTTATCGAAGTCGACAACAGCAAATACGTCGAGAGCAGCTACAAGGAATTATGGACAGCGTAATACAGGGGCAACAAAATGGATTTCAAATCGGACAGCGAGTAATATTGCCTACATCATTCATTGGAGGTCCTAGAGATATGAAAAAAAGGTATCTTGATGCTATGGCTTTAGTTCAGAAATTTGGGAAGCCAGATCTTTTTATAACCATGACTTGCAATCAATCATGGCCAGAGATTAAAGAAAATCTGTTACAATCAGATGAAGCACAAAATAGGCCTGATCTTATTGCTCGTGTGTTTCATGCAAAGTTAGAAATTATGAAAGAAGAGCTGTTCAAGAAGCAAATATTTGGAGAAGTAGCAGCATATACTTATGTTATAGAATTTCAAAAACGCGGTTTGCCTCATGCGCACTTTTTGATTATCCTGAAGCCTACTTTCAAATTATATACAACAGAAGATTATGATCGTATAGTTTCTGCAGAAATACCCGACGAAGCACAAAATGAGCATCTGTTTAGAATGGTCAAGAAACATATGATGCATGGACCATGTGGCGAGAAAAAACCTGATAATGTATGTATGCAGGGTGCATCAAAGAAGTCTTGCAAGAACAATTACCCAAAAGCATGGGCAGAAAAAACTACACATTCTCAGAATTCGTATCCAACATACAGAAGAAGAAATGATGGGAAAAAAATATTGGTTCGGGGACACTACTTAGACAACAGATGGGTAGTGCCATACAATGCTTATCTGTTGGCTAAATTCAATTGCCATATAAATGTAGAAATTTGCTCCACAATTAAAGCTGTCAAGTATGTGTATAAGTATATATACAAAGGCCATGCAAGGATACATTTTCAAGTGAATTCAGATGATGGAGCAAATCCTATTGATGAAATCAAAGAATATCAGTCAGCACGGTGGGTATGTGCACCTGAAGCAATGTGGAGAATATACAGATTTCATCTTTATGAAATGCAGCCTGCTGTAATACAACTTCAGCTTCACCTAGAAAACTTTCAATCTATGCTGTTTCGACCAAATGATAATCTTGACAATATATTAAGTAACAATTTTGCAAAAAGAACTATGCTCACCGAATTTTTTCGAATGAATGCTACAGATGATTTTGCAAAAAGTCTCAAATGTACCTACAAAGAGTTTCCTGAGCATTTTGTGTGGTATCCAAGTTCCAAATCTTGGCAACCTAGAAAACAAAAAGATTCTATCGGCAGAGTTGTTGCAGCAAATCCCCTAGAAGGTGAACGGTACTTCCTAAGACTCCTTTTACTGCATGTTAAAAGTCCAACTTCTTATGATGATTTAAAAACTGTAAATGGAGTACATGTTACTACATTTCGCGAAGCAGCTGCACTTAGAGGATATTTAGAATCAAATAACTCACAAGAACAATGTCTAGAAGAAGCTGCCCTTTATCATATGCCATATAGCCTAAGAAGGTTGTTCGCAACATTGTTGGTATATTTTACCCCCTCAAATCCAAGAACCCTATGGCTGAAATTTGAAGAATCATTGTCTGAAGATTACAATAGAGTCCCAAATTTAACCAAAAATGATATTCAATTTAAAGTTCTGCATCAAATAAGCAATTTTTTAGAGTCTATGGGTCTTAACATAAACAGCTATGGACTGGTGCCAAGAGTACTAAAATTCCATGACTCAAATACAGATGCAAGAGATACAATTAGTGAAACAGAGATTAAAGTTTCAGAGGATGACTTGATATCAATTACTAAACTCAATCCTGGTCAAAAAGCAGCTTTTGATACTATAATGCAGGCATTATACATTAAAGAAAAAGGATGTTTCTTTATAGATGGACCAGGTGGCACAGGAAAAACATTTCTTTATCGAGCGTTATTAGCTGAAGTACGATCAAAAGGCTTTATAGCATTAGCTACTGCTTCTTGTGGAGTTGCAGCATCAATATTACCGGGAGGTAGAACAGCGCACTCTCGATTCAAGATTCCAATTGATATGAATTCAGTCAATATGTGTAAAATTAGTAAACAAAGTGCACTTGCTAAACTAATTCAAGCGGCTAAACTTATTATTTGGGATGAAGCTCCAATGGCACACAAAACTGGTATAGAAGGTGTGGATGCACTACTAAAAGATTTAATGGGTTCTCCTGAGTTATTTGGCTCAAAAGTTATGATTTTTGGTGGTGACTTTAGACAAGTTCTCCCTGTTGTCACTAAAGGTTCAAAGGAAGATTTTGTACAAGCTAGCTTAGTAACTTCATACATTTGGCCACAGCTTCACAAACTATACCTCACAGATAATATGAGAGCAATATCAGACCCAGAATTTACAGATTACCTTCTCCGAATAGGAAATGGACTAGAACCAGCAATACAAGGGTTAAAAGTAAAAATTCCTCTCCCACTGCTAATACCATACAAAAGTGAAACAGAATCAATTTTTGAACTTATCAAAACAGTTTACCCAGATTTAAGTGCTTTTTCCAAGGATGATTTTTCATTGGTAAATCGAGCAATCCTTACTACAAAAAATGAATTTGTTGATGTGTTAAACAACTTGTTAATTAACATTTTTCCAGGTGAGGCTCAAGAATATATTAGTCGTGATAAAACACTTGACATTTCAGAACAAGGCCTATTTGAAGATTTTCTCAACAGCTTAACACCCAATGGTTTTCCCCCCCACAACCTTATCCTAAAACCAAATTGCCCAATAATTCTTCTCAGAAACATTGATCCCCCAGAAGGTTTATGCAATGGAACAAGGCTAATATGTAAATCTTTGACTAACAATATTATTGATGCAGTTATAAGTGCTGGAGAATTCAAAGGCAAACAAGTCTTTTTGCATAGAATATGTTTCCGAATAGAAAATAATCCTGATTGCCCGATGTCATTTGAAAGAATTCAATTTCCAGTGCGTCTATGCTTTGCAATGACAATCAATAAAGCTCAAGGTCAAACTTTAGATTTTGTTGGTATATACTTACGTGAACCAGTTTTTTCACATGGCCAACTATATGTTGCTTTATCAAGAGCAAAAAGCAGCAATTGTGTAAAGATTCTTATATAGCCTTCTCCCTTTGATCCAACAGTTGACTATGCTACCAATAACATAGTATACAAAGATATTTTACAGCTTGCAAATCATCACCTTTCATAATTGTTGATTATAAGAGTGTGAGATTCATATTCATTACATTTATTGCCCCTACCTTTTCTACACAGCTATATATCTGCACTAATCAAAGCTTAACACCCAATTATTTGTTGTGCACTGCTGCAGATTTCACTTGCTTTTATACTTACCAGATTTCACTGACAACTCATGCTTAACTTTTTTGTAAAAAAATACTTATTTTTCAATACTGCTTCAATTTTTCAGCCAATTGATGTCTCAGTATATGTAATAAGAAAATTCTTGTATTAAGATATAGCATTAAGTAAAGCTTATGCTTCATTGCTAATGCAAATAATGACAAATGTCCTTAAGAGATATTCAAAAAACAAAGGTTAGTGTTCATTACATTTGATCTCCTCTCATCAGGGCCATTTTTGTTGTTGCAATGTCTTGGTTGACCTTTTTCTTACAACTCATACAAGTAATTACTGCTTTTGTTCACAGAGTATCTTTTTTATACCCCAATATTAGTTATTGCTAAACTCTCATGATATTGCTCTTACTACTCATTCTTATAGTTATATATTCAGAAAATTCATTACGTATTAACATTACTGGTTCTTGTAGTTGTACGTACAGAACACTGATTATGAATTAATATTACTCATTCTCGTAATTCTATATTAAAAAAATTCATTGCTCAGTGTTTATCATTTTGCAGTGAGACTGTATATAAAGATGAAGAGTTTGATGAGGCTCAGAGACAACTAGCTGCAATACTAGCCTCAAAGATTCAAAGATGCTTTTCCTGTATCTCTAATTCTCTAAAAGCAATAACTATGATCCCAGGTTGAGATCTAAAACTCCAAATCCTTATAAACTTTTCTTTTAAACATCACTTCTACAGAGTACTCATCTGCTTCATTAATATATTAGTCATTTTACCAGCTTATGTATAATGCATTTCAAGAAGAGGAAGCCTAAGTTCTTTTGCTCTCATATTCTTTCATTATTTATAACAAATCTCTGTTTCCCCTGTCAGATCTTTTGTTATTTAGATGAACTAAATCACTCATTGTTCTGTACCTTTGGACTTGAGCTTCTATTCAATATATCAGCAGATTTAGATTATCTCTGAACTATTCTAGGTGCTATATTATTGTTCAGTTCTGCCTTCTAAATTTGTTCGATATCATTATGTATTGTACTTATAACAAAATAAATCATGGTTGAATAACTTCTAATCTTGGAGTGTAAAGTGCCATTGACCTTATATAACTTAAGTATGCATTTCTTTTTAACCATCACATCAACTTATTACTTATTTTTTCCTACTATATCATTTTGTGTCTTAACTAAAGCTGTACATGCATGTATATAAACTTCTGAAACGCTAGATTACACTACAGTTTTCAACTTTTTCTCATTATCTCATTTTTCAGTTTCCCTGTAGGTATATAACCAACACAATTGTAGTGATGTCTCTCGCAATTTTATCACCTCTAGAAAATATCAGCATCAGGTAATTATATCAATGTAATTCATTCTTGTTAACCTTATTCCAAATTCTAAAGAATGTAGATGCAAAAACTGCCATTGCCTGATTGTTTAAGCATATGTCAGCTTCTCATGCTTTTGGATACACCAAAAGACACTGCTACTGTATTTGACAAACTATTAAGAACAGAAGACAAAATTAATGCTTTATTGGCAACTTCAAATAGCATTTGACCTTGTAAACAATGAACACCAAGCTATTTATGCTGAAAGAAATGTAATCAAAATTCTGAAAGAAATGTCTCCCACACAGATCCAAAGGAAACTATTTATGCTGATTGATTATCAAAAATAAAAGAACTACTGTCAAACCTAAAATGCGTGATTCCAGAGTATCAACCGTAACTTTAAGGAGACTTCCTCAACAACCACAAATGTTCATCTTTGTTAGCCTTACCCCCAAATCTCAACTTTTGATTTTATCACTATAGACTAACCTTTGTTCAATTGCCACTTTAGCTTAAATGCATTTGACTTTTCTTAGTATATGGCATACTCAGTTCTCCTTTATTTCTTCTCTATGTGCCACTTTAAATAAAAGACATTCAAACTCTCCTTAGCAAGTATGTGACAATTCAATTCTCATTTATTCATTCTCTAATTTCCAATGTATAAAAAAGCAGAGGGTAAAAATTTTGGATGGCTCTCTAATTATTAAGTTGGTCAACTTTTAACTCTCTAACTATTAAGTGCATACTTTTGCTTCCCCAAACTTGTAAAAGGGTATATTCCCTACCCTTGATGTATGTTAACATTACTTGCCACTCCTTCTCTTTGTTTTCATATTTGGTAAATGGAAATCAAGCCTTTCAAATTCTTGAAGTGGCTGATAATTGTGATTTGTAATTCCTGACTAACATTTATTGACTCAGAGTATGTAAATTTATTAAGCTGAATTCTGCTGCTGTTTCTCATTAGTTTTGACTTTTGGGGTCTTTCAGGGGATCAAGCTTGAGCTATGTATGTCAAGTTGGCAAGTTGTCATCTGAAGGTAAGTATTCGAAAGTTGTTGATTGCTTGGATTTATCTACCTCCTATTTTTGTGTATCAATTCTGTAGCTGTTCTCGTTTGCTGTACCAAATTTCGTAATTTTGATATCACAGTTGGATAGCAAACATGAAGCTGCAAATGCTTATGCTGATGCCACTCATTGCTATAAGAAGACAAACATTAAAGGTTTGGTCTCTTACCAGTTTTGACACATTGTTTGAGCTCAGACTACAGCTGTCAGTTATCACTCAATACAATCATTCATCTGGTGGCTGATTGTTTCAGCTTAAATTGAAGATCAGTCTTAGTTTTTAGTTATTGATTACATGATGTTTTTAGGAACTTGTCCATACTTCAACACCAAAAAAGTAGATTAAATATTGTCTTAAACTTTATTTCCTATGCCTGCTTTCTTTCTCATATTATCAGTTGGTTTCTTCATCAGCCAATTTTATCCCATCTTTTTTTGCTAATAAGCGCTACTAAAGAAATGCAACCGCACTAAAGAAATCTCATCTTTGCAAATTCAACCGCACTTAAGAAATGCAATGAAATTTATTTTTAATCCTAATTTCCAGCCTAGCTTTTATCTGTTTTGATATTCTTGTTCCTTTCTTCCTCTGATTTTCATCCAATCCCATTTTGGGATTTAAGCCATCATCTTTTCACTTAGATTATAGAGCTTTTATTTTACGAACTGTTGATGGCTAATAATTTTATTCTTCACACAGTCTATATCTTCCTTGGAGCAGTCCGTGAATTTGTTCTTGGAAATTGCAAGGCTCAATATGTCCACAAGATACTACAAGGTGCAATCTATGTCACTTCACCTAAATAAAATATCTTTTGCCTCTGTAGTCATCGTCCATCTTATTCTTGAAGCTCATTTCTCTTTTCTGAAAGAACAGAATGTCTTTTAGATAGATTTGATACTTTTGTGATTCATATGTAAAGTTTTCATGTCTCATGTAAAGTTTTTCGACATATTGTAACATCAATACGTACAGACTATTGGTCAACTTATCAGAACTCATAACCTACGATGCTATATATTTACTGTCTATCATGCCATGATGGCTGTGATATCTGCTTTTATCTCTTAATCTATGTTTCCTTTTGAGTGTTAGCTATTGATTCCTTTATTTGAATCTAAGAAATTGCTGAACTATATGAGTAAGAAGAGAATTTGGAGCAGACCATTGTCTACTATGAGAGAGCAGCTGATCTTTTCCAAAGTGAAGGTATCAACACCACTGCAAATCAGTGGGAACAGAAAATTGCCCAATTTGCTTATGTCAAGAAAACTAAAAAGTAAATGCAGAAATGAAAAGATGGTACTAAAGATTTAAGGTTAGGAAGACTGAGTGCCAGCTAAACTAAGATTACTTCATAAGACTTTTTGTTTTTACCCTATACACAAGATTTAGTGTGTGTGTGTCTTTAAAACTGATACTCATAATGCCCTGCAGATATCCAAAGGCAATTGAAACTTATGAAGACATAGCCCAACAATCACTTAACAATAACTTGTTGAAATACAGAGTCAAGGGGCACCTTCTTAATGCTGACATATGCCAACTGTGTAAAAATGATGTTGAATCAATCAATCATCCACTGATTAGACTCTTGAGAGTTTTGCTTTTATTCTCTCTGTCTCGCATTGGTATGTACAGGAACTTTATCCAACGTTCTCGGGAACACAAGAGTACAGACTTTTAGCTTTTAGCTTTTCCATCTTTTTAAAAAATTGTCTCCCACAGGTTATTCAGCTTAGTAGCTACCTTAGTCTCACTTTGGCAGCATTAGAAACTTCTAATCAAGATATTCTTGATGATATTCTTGAATTAAAAATTTAATGAATACTTCCTTATTTGTGAGAAGGAGAAATCAAAATTCAGTTGCTTAGTTGCTCTTACATTCAGTTTTGCCACTTGCTTATGGTTTATGTTCTGAGCTATAAAAATTTGACATCAAGACTTTGCTTCTCCAAACAACTTTTCATATGGTGCGTTTGCTCTAAATTTTTTTAAACTCTTGTACGACAATTGATAAAAATACAGATATTGATCAATCCATCTGATCGAGTAGCTAACCTTAAAATGCGGACTGCTCAAATCACCTCCTTGCTCTCTAAATCATATAATTCACATGTTCATTATAGTCCAGCTCTTGCGATTGCCATATCATGTACTGCTACTAATGTCAGCGAAACCATATCATTGGTGAAGCTTTTCACATCAGATATAGTTGACATCAGATGACTGAAACCAATAATTCCACTGTCACTGCATTGAGGTAGTTTATTCCTGTTAACTGTGTGTGTACCTACTTGGCTATCTAATTCATTTCAAGTAAGCCAATTTCTTGCCTCATTTAACAGATAGCAATTGAAAAAAATTATTCTCGATAACAATCAGAACAGTTAACAACATACATGCAGTTTTAGCGTCACTGGTGAAAGGAATGTGACAATAAAGCTGATTTCAAACAAAAAACATAACAAAGTAACTGCAGTTGTTGCTCTTACTCTTTTTAACCAATCTTGGTACTCGAATCAACTCATATACTTCCTTAGCTTGTCCTCTGGCACTTCAACTGTCATGCTTCCTACAGCCGTTTTTATGAACACCACCTAACGCAAGTAGCAAAAAGACATATGAGTCAATTTGCAATGAATAACCATTGTGTATCACCCTAGAAGATTGATAATTTGCAATGAGTCAACACCAAATGCACGCATCAGCTACATACTAAGATAGATCTAACTACAAATTCAATTCTCAAATATTGTTAGCGGACATGCTTTACACTTAAATTTCAATGTGCCGAGATTATTCTGTAAAGTTCAATACTAGAACACAACCCAAATTGGTTTGAAACTCTAATGAGGTGAAGAAACAGAATCTATCCAACTTAAACTCACATTGCAATCACTGTACGTTATGGAGGAAAGCCAATTCATGGACAGCAGAGTCAGAGAAAGCTCACATATTCCTTTCTCCATCTTTATTCAATTGACAAATTTCTTACCCACATCCACTCATTGAGTTTCATACATCAAGTTTCAAAATGTTGTAAACTGCTTTCTCAGAAAAGCCAACAATAGAATGATAAGCTGGAAAACAACAATACAAGACATTACATTGGCTTTCCAGTGTACCAGAAAACAAATTTTAAATTTCTAAACCGAAATCCTAAGCTGCTAATATTCCTTTCACTCTGATTGTATTTCAGATTCACAGGACAAATGTTCAGACCTTATTTCAACTTACTAACAACAAAGCGTTTAACTATAAACATTTTACCAGTCCACTAACCAGCCTAATCTCAATTAATTACATGTAACATTTCATCCATAGCTGCAGATCCACAAAAAACCACCAAAATTTTTCTGCCCCATTTCAATCCATAGCGGAAGATGCTCAAAAACCATCGAAAAATTTTATATGACATCAATTTCAAGAAAAAAGTATAGACCCAAAGGGAAAAAAATAAAATTTTCGATGGACAATCAACATCATCAACCCATATAAAACTCATGCACACTGTTCTCCTATCAAACTATGCAACATATTGTTATTCCTGAAAAAAATCCTAAAGCTTAAAAATTTATCCAAAGTTTCCACCAAATATCACCAGTTTTGCACACAAATATTCCGCAAAACACTAACTGTAAATTCCGACAGTAAATGATGGTGAATGATACGTATAATTAAGTAAATTTCAAATATTAGTAACAATTCACACAAAATAAACTGAATGAGATTCTGACCATCTTCGCCTTCCTCCTCATCTTCTTCTTCCTCACTATCAACTTCAGCTTCAAGTTCAAAAAAATGAGACCCCGACCTCTTCTTTGCATTCCTCTTTCCACTGCCACCGCCGTAATCCTCATCATCATGGTCTTCCTCTGGCAAATCATCAATGAAATGCAATCTCCGCCGTTATCATCTCGTCGTCGTACCCCTCCTCTCATCTTCGCGGCATCGCAAATCCCGCTTCGTAATTCTCCTTACAACTGCAATTAAGCTCTTCGCAATGCTTGATTATGTCGGTCGCTGATTACAAAGATGACGATTTGTGAAACCCTAAATGCAAAAATTGGGGATTTTGAAGAGAGAGAGAGAGAGTGGAGTATATTATTCTTGTTAATTTATGATGAGGAAGGTCAGCGGCGGACGGACGTGGGTTGACCTACCATTGCAGTGAAGATTAAGAAAACAGAATTTGAGCTCGTCGAGTGTAGTAGGCTAGCACCTAAGCCGTCAATTATTGACTTTTTTTTATAGCACCATAGACATTATTATTAAACTTTTATAACAAGGAGTGCACTCTATCAGTTTTGCATCAGTTCTGCCGTACACGTTTTGTTCCACTTTTACCCCTTTACTCACCCGTGCATAATTACTCGTGACAATTTGAGCTCCATATCCTCTGAATTTACAACCCACCTTTTCACTGAACCTCTGTGCTGCTATTTATTTTGTATAACCAATATTCAAAGCTTGAACACGTCTGAATAGCTCTACATTAATTTTAAATCAAATTAAAAAAAAAACTTAAAGCCTACTGGACCTCTAAGCCTACAACATATGCATGAGTCTAATATATACTACTTTTGCATGGCGGAGAAACTTACGAACAGGTCTAAAGCTCCCACGCCTTGCGTGGGAAGCCAAACCTAGTGTTGAAGATATAAACCACTTGTGTAAACTTTCTCTGTACATTGATGATATATATAATATAACCTTTTTGTGCCCAAGGTCGTTAACAACTTTGTGTTTGGACAGCAGATTATTTTGAATAATTTTTTTAAAAAAAAATATTATAGCAATTTTTATAATGTAATATATATGAGATAAAAGGATAGTTAAAAAATAAAAATGTTATTAAATAATATGTTTATAATGCAATAAAATAATTTTTTACAAACAAGAAGCTATCCATAATGCAAATAAGGAAAAAAATAAGTCTACAAAAAAACTAATCTTAGGAAAAATACGAAAAAAGGGATCTAGTTTAGTATTATTACTTGAATCTGAAATAGAATAGTATAAGGAACAAAGTAAAATAAATATTTTTTTTTTTTTTGCAAAAAAATCACTGGATATGAAAAAGTACTCTCTCGGTTTGCCTTTAATCCGGATGAGCGGGGAAACACTAAAAAGATGTCGATTCTTCACTGTGGGAGTCAAATTATCCTTCTCCACTTAGAAACACGGTCTCCATATTCTTGGATTGTTTTGCTGACGTACTCTACCACCCATCTAACGATCACAAAGGTTTCAATAGAGGATGAACGGATAGGATTTGTTTCTCTATTGTAGCAGAAAACCACTCTATTTCTCTGCCTATAAGTACCCCTTTTACCGTTGATAAAGAGTCTGTTTGATAACATAAAAAAGTGCTGAATCTGAATTTTTTCAAACTTTCAGATGTTTTGAGTGTTTGATAATGAAAATCTATTTGCTGAACTTGTTAAGCAGTGCTAAACCTATGTGTATTTTTTTCAGCACAAGAATCCTAACTGAATGCTTAATTCTGATAAGAATCAATAGAATTACTTCAATTACTTTATCTTATCTACGTTTATTTGTTAATTATGTTCAAAATTCTTATCTAATTAAACAACATAATATTCTCTATCTAACGATTTTTAGTTTTTCTTTTCTCCCTTTTTAATGACTTTCACATTTTATCCATGCTCCTCATATAATATATTTTATCTTTTATATTAATTTGATTTAAAAATAAATATTGCCATTTTCATACCTAACAATTTTAAACTAATTAAATCATAAATTCTATTTCTTTTTTGAATGAAAGAATATAAGGGTAAAATTGTCAAATTAAACTTATTAAGCATTCAACTATAAATATTTATCAAACAGTATAAATAGGTTTAGCATTAAAATTCAGACATTCATATATTTTTTTCAGTGCTTAAAATTCAGCAAATTAATTGTTTTAGTATTCAGATTTCAGAATTCAAACTTCAGAATTCAGATTTAGTTTTATCAAACGGAACCAAAGTGAACCTCATTTTTTGTTGTCAAAAAAAAAACTCATTTTCTAAAAATGGGAACGGCATTTTAGAATAATTTAATTTAGAAACTACCAATTTAGAAACTCTTCAATTTGGTAGATGCCAAATAGGAAATATTCAGATTCCTAATTATAAACACAGATCAGCTGCAGCTTTCCTTTCTACATGTAAATCAACCAACCTCTTCATCTGATCCTTCAAGAAAATCAATTAATTGTGTTCGTCCGAGGCAAACCTTTGGCTCAAGAAATTGTTCAGCGATGGAGGAGAATGCCGTAATACTGAATAAAAGGAACTTCGGTGGTCGAAGAAAGATTCAAATCAAGAAAATTGAGAAGAAGAAGAACTTGCTAGTCTCGTTTTCTAAACGTCGTGCAGGCTTGTTCAAGAAAGCTGAGGAATACGGCAAAAAGTCTGGGGCTCAAGTTGCTATCCTTGTCTGTTGGGGTATCAGGCCAATTATTTGAAAAGGAAAAAAAATCAATAATTTAATAGAAAACAATATCTAACACGAATGATAAACAACACACAAGAATTAACGTGGTTCGGCTTAATCACCAAGTCTACGTCCACGGAGAGAAAAACTTGTTCTTACTATGAGAGAAAAAATACCACAAGATTATAACTTGATTCCCAAGCCCCAACTCTTGTATAACCCTCTTACCTACTAAGAACTCTCTCACTCCTTTTTTTGTGTATTTGTAGTATGCCAATCTACCTATTTATAGAGAACATTACTTGACCAAAAAACCAAATAACAATTAGAAACCAATACTAATTCCTAAACTCATATAGAGTAGGAAATAACATCTAATTCTAAACCAAATAGGACTTTACTTGACTACTACTTTAAGTAACTAAAATTTAAGTAAGAAACTAGTTACTTTCCACACCAAATAAGAATTCTACCTAAAAGAAATTAAGCCAATTTCCTAACAAATCTCCACTTTGGCGAAAATTTCTTTTAGCAAACACAGCAAACCATCCAAAAAAAAACTCCATTTGCCTTTTCCCACCAAGTCCCTTGGTGCCTAGCTACACACCTGAATCAATACGGTCTTATTTTCAATTGATTCAATCGGCAAATAAACTTGTGTAGCTAACCGAGTCCAACATCTAGTTGACTCGCGAGAGGGGCCTCAATTCACCCTCTCCCATGGCAGGTTTTTTTCCTCTCACCACCATTTATAATTTGAGAGCATTCTTGGATCCCCTTCCGCTCCCAATCCATTGAAGTATTCAAATGGTACAAATTACCATACTTCTTCCCCATCAACAAGACCGTCTCGCCATGTGTGATTTTCAAGACTCCACCTGCAGCGGAAAAATGGTAACCCTCGGAGTCTAATTGGGTCAAAGAAATTAGATTCCTTCATAACTTTGGAATATAAGCCACACCACCCAAAGAACGAATCTCTCCATTCAACATTTTGATTTTCACCACTCCAACACCTTTGACTTGACAAGTAAATCCATCACCCAAGGACATAAAACCTGCCTTCTTTCTTTGGAGAGTATCAAAATAATCTAACCTGGAGCAAACATGTGAAACACATCCAGAATCTAAAATCCAACCATCACGAGAAGAAGTATTATTACCTTTGGAGATTGTGAAAATATCTCCACCCGATGCATATCCAGCAACATTATCATAGTCATTTTCATCATTTTTCTTTCGATGAGGGCAATATCTTTTGATATGGCCAAACTCATGACAACCAAAACACTAGATTCCACCATTTCTCTTGGCCTTTTAACCACCTGCCTTAGATTCACCACCAAATTGTTTTCCTCTTTTATTCTCACCTCGAGCAATTAAAGCAGCTTCTAGTGTCACATTTTGGTTTGCCTTTCTTTGTTTTTCATGATCCAATAATGAAGACTGCACATTCTCGAACTCTAAAGTGTCCTTCCCATTCAACAGGGTTGTCACGACACTTTCGTAAGAATCAGAGACTGAGGTAAGAAGTAAAAGGGGCTTATCTTCTTCCTCAATATCCACACCAACCTTTTGGAGTTGATCCAAAATTCCGTTGAACGTATTCATGTGATCCATGAGACTGCCACCCTCCTCCATCTTTAGTGCATAAAGTTGCCGTTAGATGCAACTTATTGGATAAGCTTTTAGCCAGATAAAGCTTTTCCAATTTTTTCCAGAGATCTGCTGCAGAATCTTCTTCACCTATCACATTATTTATGATGTTGTCCGCCACATAGAGTCGAATCGTGCTCGCACACCTTGCGTCCAACTCCTCAAACTCATCATCATTCATGCTCTCCGGTTTCTTGTTCTTTCCATTCAACGCTTTTGCCAAACCTTGTTGAACTAGAACATCTTTCACTCTTCTTTGCAAAAAAGTGAAACTTGTAGTTCCATTAAACGGTTGAATTGGAAACTGTATAGTTCCAAACCCCATGGTATACCACCACCCACTCAATTTTAAATAATTAACCAAAATCCCAACAGAGCTCTGATACCACTTGTTGGGGTATCAGGCCAATTATTTGAAAAGGAAAAAAAACCAACAATTTAATAGAAAACAATATCTAACACGAATGATGAACAACACACAAGAATTAACGTAGTTCGGCTTAATCACCAAGCCTACGTCCACGGAGAGAAAAACTTGTTTTTACTATGAGAGAAAAAACACCACAAGATTACAACTTGATTCCCAAGCCCAAACTCTTGTATAACTCTCTCAGCCACTAAGAACTCTCTCACTCCTTTCTTGTGTATTTGTAGTATGTCAATCTACCTATTTATAGAGAACATTACTTGGCCAAAAAATCAAATAATAATTAGAAACCAATACTAATTCCTAAACTCATATAGAGTAGGGAATAATATCTAATTATTGAACCAAATAGGACTTTACTTGACTACTATTTCAAGTAACTAAAATCTAAGTAGGAACCTAGTTACTTTCCACACCAAATAAGAATCCTACCTAAAAGAAATTAAGGCAATTTCCTAACATTGTCCAATCTCCAGGTGGTAGATTCTTTACCTTTGGTGGTCCTGACTCTGCTTCGGTAGACTCCATTCTTGACCAGTATCTTGCTGGCATGATGCCTTCATCTTCAAGTTCTTCTTCTTCTAAGAATGGTACTGTTGTTGATGATCAGGGAAAGAGTAAGCCTGTGGAGATTGAAGAAAATACTATGGAAGAAGAGGTTATAGAGCGGGGATTGATGGAAACTAACCAGGTCAGTGATGGAAAAGAATCTTTGTTGAAACAGCCGTTGGATAATGATGATCTTCAATGGGTTGACGAACTCAAAAACTATATGGTCACCATGAAAGGCCTGGAGGGTGAGGAATTGTCTCAAGAAGATGATGGAACGATAAGGGCTGCTAATGATAATATTAATAGTGATCCTGATTCATCAAGTTTATTGAATCCCAATGTTAATCTTTGATTATTTTGGTGGGTTTCCAGTGAATGATGATCAGAGGATCGGGGGTGCTGATATTGCCGTCAATGATGTGAATCCTGTTTATATTAGTGGGCTTCCAATGAATAATGATTTGTTTCAAGAATGTAATGAGATGACCAGGGCTGCTGCAGATGCTGCTTCATCAAGATTGTTGATTCCAAAAGTTAATCTTGATTATTTCAGTGGTCTTCCAAAGAACAATCATTTCTTTCAAGATGATGAGATGGCCAGGCCTGCTGATTATTAATGGCGATGCTGATCCATCAAGTTTAGTGATTCTCAACGTTAATCTTGATTATTTTGGTGGGCTTCCAATGAATAATGATTTCTTGCAAGATGATGAGATGAACAGGGTTGCTGATACTGTTAATGGCGATGTTGATTCATCAAGTTCATTGATTCCTAGTGTTAATCTTGATTGTTTTGGTGGGCTTCCAATTGATTTTGATTTTGAGTCCTCAGTACAATGATTGGGAGTAGTAGTACTTATTCAAGATGCACAGATATGGTTAATTAATTATGTTAACCAGATAGATTTAATTAATTTTCCCTTTTCCATTATTGTTTTGAAAGGTGAAATCTTATTGGAATTGGTATGTGTTATTAATGGTTTACTCTTTGAATTATTTTATGAGAAAATTGTTGAGATTTCGTAAATTGTTTTTTGTGGTTGCTCTGGTTTTCCTTTTTCTTCATGTTCATAATCGGTTTCGTTATGTTTTACACCCCAACGGACACCATCTTTTTGTGGAATTTCTAGAGGAAAAAGTAGGTGAAAATGGTCTTATAAATTCTATAACGCTTTCAAACTAGAGAACCAGCAGCAGTAGGTAAAATGGTTGCAAAATTGGGTTTAGAAAATTTTCCAATTCAAACACTACGGGATCTCTTTGTTTGTTTTGGTGTTTTCTTTTGGATCTTTTGGAATTATGAGAGCAGAGTCCTGTCCCAAGAAGGTTTTGGGGAGTGGAAACAAAACCCAAAATTAGAAAAATGAAAAATGAAAAAAAATAAAAAATAGAAAAAAAAAGGAAAATGGAATATATGGGTACGGTATAATTAATTTTGGCACCACGTTGCTTTCATCTCTGATAGAAAGGGCCTAGTCTAGTTTAACAAAAAACAATGAAAGAATGTAGGAAAGCTTGACCAGTTAAGAATGTATCTAGCAATATGCACCTTGTTTTTAATCTAATTAACAATCCACATTTGAAATTAAGACGAAAGAGGAGTATAATTTTCTATTATCAAAATTTATGATTGTTTGTCATGATTTTGCACGGTAATGAAAAGGGATTGCTTGTCATTATTTTGTATGGTAATGAAAAGCGACTTGTAAAGGTGGGAAAACAAAGAGAGATTAGGTAGGATTTAATTGTGCTAATCAATGTCAATTGCACACCCGTTAAGAAAACAAGTGACTAGTTGTTTTTCAAAATCTTTTTCAGGAAGGGAGGGATGAGATTTAAGAAGAGTGGGGGTGGAAGAAGAAATTGAACTCTGGACTCGACACTTATATGTAAAAGTTTTTTTTCTTTAACTCGTGTTTGTTGGGCACCCTATAAGATCTAAATTATATTCCTTTCGTCCTTCTATTAAAGTCATGTTTTAGAAATTCAAGTTTTTATGAAGACATAACAATCATTATGTTTAGATGAGGTGGCATTGGAGAAATTACATATGTACTCTTTGAATTCAAAATATTCATTTGCTAAATGTGCATTGGGATTTTAAAAAGTTACTTTTCTAAATGATAAGATTGGAAAGCATGTGTTGAACTTAAAATGGTGACTCTTATTTTGGAACACCAATAAAATAAAAAACATGACTTGAAAATGGGACCGAGGGAATACATAACTTCTCATATATTTATTTATTTATATATTTATTTATTGCCCCTTCTACATTCAGAAACTTTCTTGATTGTACATAATTCTTGCAAATAACTAACACCTAAAGCTCCTTTTTTAAAAAAAAAAGAAAGGATTAATTACATTTACCTCCCTCAAGTCTGTCCATATTGCCAAAGAAACTTGGGGGGGGGGTAAATTTGGGTTAATTACATTTGAGTGGGCACTTATTTGACAAATCTAGATACAAATACTTTTGAAGATTAGTCACCTTTAGAGTTCCAATACTAAGACAATTTCTTTCCGTTGTGTTTTTGTGTTAGTAATCAGTAAATAGTGGACTTAGTAACAACTAAACACAATTTTCATTGGGGTCCTATTATAAAAGGAGTAATATTTCAAGCACTCCAAGTCAGACTGGAACGGCATAGTACACCATTTTAATGAATTTAGGAACTAAAGGTTAAAGAGGGGAAAAAGGGGGTTAAATAAGGGGTTTTTTAATTTTTCTCTCGGAATTGATGCACGAGAGTTTTAGAACTCAATCAAATTCAGGCCTAATATAATTAGGACTCAATTGAATTGAGGGCCTAATATTATTGGGCCTCATATAACTGGACTACGGCGCCTAAAATAAGTTACTAGCATTGAGTTAATTGCAGTTATTGAAGTAAACTTAGGGATAATTGCAATTTATGAATGTAAAACTAGCAATTAAAGAGATGAAATAGACTATTAAACGCTAGGAACCTCACAACATAGTACTAATCTACACACATGTACATATGAAAGAAATGAATTTAATGAAAAATCATTTAAAATGTCTCTCACATTTGTCAAATGAATTTTTTCATTATTTACTTTTAAAATAATAACTTTATGTCCCTTACAAAATCAAGTCATTAAAATTTGGTTCGATCCTAAGTTTTCGACCACTTTTTACCCCGAATCCATCATATGACCCATACATAATCACTTTTTTGGGGGGGAAAAAGGTTACCTCTCATTTGTAGCTAAATAAATGATCCAATCCAAATTCATTTTTTTATCCCTAAAGAAATCGAATCTAATCCTAACCATTTTCATTTTCTCCCTTAAAAAGTGAGATCTGCTCTAATCTATATTTATTTTTGTTAATAAAAATGTGGAATCTAACTTTTTGTACATAAAATATGACTGCATGTGGATCACATGATGATTTTAGGCTAAAAAGTAGTAAACTCATTTATTACCATTTCTATAATTTAATATAGCCAAGAAAAAATACCAAAATCTACCCGTCCATGATTTTTTGCCCATGTATAAAACTATAAATATCCACCGATCTAATCAATTTCTTTCTATTGTCTACGAGAAAACTCATTATATAAAAATAGTAATTATTATTGTGCATATTCATACAGTAAGTAAGATGTGATTGACCGTACTTGTTAGAAAAGCTCTTTATAGTTGCCAAGATACGAAAATCTAGTTCTTAACAGTTTTTTTTTCTTAGGAGTTGTTTGTTGAGCATTTGATAATAGATGTACATTACCCATAATTTCCCATATGTGTATATAGACTTTTGTGTATTTCCCTTCCTATATGTAGACACTTGCTTGATTGTACGTAGTATTTGCAAATAACTAACACGTGAAGTTCATTTTGAGTGGGCACTTATTTGACAAACTTAGATATAAATATTCGTGAAGACCAGTCTTCTTTCAGAGTTCTAATACTAAAAAATTTCGTTCCATTGAATTTTTATGGTATAATCAGTAAATGCTGAACTTAGTATTAATTAAACAATTTTCATTGTGGTCCTAATATGAACGAGCAATATTTCAAGCACTCAAGTTAGTGACTAAGAACACGAAAGCTACGGTGTACACCATTTAATAAATTTAGGAACTAAAGATGCAATAGGGTTATTTATTTCTTTATTTTCTCGGAATTGATACATGAGACATTTGGGACTGAATTGACTTCAGGACTGATATTATTGGGACTCGATAGAATTCAGGACCTAACATTGTTGGGCCTCAATCGTTGTGCTTTTTTTAACTAGACTAAAGTGCACAAAAAAAAAAAAAAAAGTTGAGATCTGTCTGACAAGTGCCAATTAAAATGTAGTTCAGGTGTTAAATTTTAGAAAGATAAAATTATTTATAAAAAAATATATAATGCAATTGACAAAGTAATAGTAATTAGAGAAAATATATAATTAATAGTAGGGAAGGTAATAATTAGGTGATTTAGATAGGTTAATGAATTGGACACCCCATTAGAAAAATCTAATATGTTACTAGCATTGAGTTAATTGTAATTAATGAAGTAAAATTAGGGTTAACTACAATTTATCGAAGCAAAACTAGCAATTCAAGAGATGAGATGGGCTATTAAGCCCCAGATATCTCACAACTTGGTACTAATCTACACGCACACGCATTTATCAAGGCACTAAATTTAATAAGTTATCTTCTCTCCTAGGTTTTACTCATATTTATATGCAACTCTTCTCTAATTAATTTTTCTTATAATTTCTCTCCTATTTTTACGACTTTTATCTTTTTAAATAAATTGAATCTTTTTTCTTATGGTTTCTTTCTTTTCTAACAAATTTTTACCTTGCCTAATTTGCATAATTTTGTTTTATCAATATGGATTAACTTTATCTAGTGCAGTTTCAATTGTTACATCAGTATTAGTGCTACTGGAAATTGAACATTTATTCATGACAAAATGAGTTATGACATCTTTTTTTTTATTTAATTGAGTATAAATACGTAGTTTTAAGTTGATGGTCATTATAAAATTTTAATAATAAAAAAGAGTGTCTTTCATTTTTTTGGGCATGCAATATAATATAGGATGAATGTTATTAAACTATAGTAAAAGTGTGTTTGAAGTTCTAAAAAAAATCAATATGGATGTGAAACATTGGAACACATTAATTTTCAAAACTTAATATTAAATATATAAAAACATTGTCTTTTTTTTTTTACTTGAATTATTCATGCACAAGTTCACCACTAATTAAAAAAAAAATCTTGTTAAATACTATAAAGCTAATAAAGAAAACAAAAGTAACTAAAGGAGATATGGATTGGGTTGGGTGGTACAGGCCGCGGAGGAAGAAACTTACCTTGGGTTGGGTGGGACAGACCGTGAGTGGGAGTTTTTGGTTTAGTTAAAAAAAAAAAAAGTAACTTACCTATTCCAGTATCCGGCAATAGCCAAAGAGGCTACTCATTTCTTTCTTTTGGTTTGGTAAGATTCAAAGATTTAGAAACTCATTTATTACCATTTCTATAATTTATACTGTCAAGATACCAAAATCTACGGATCCATGATTCCATAAAACTATAAATATCTGTGAATCTACAATCTCCTGTCTAGCACTAAACCAATTTCTATCCATTGACGCGGAGAAAACAACTTGTTTCAAGCATGGTTCGCCATATCGGCCGATACCTATACGTATCGGTATCGGTCGAGTCGTAACTGGAACGGAGGGGACCGGTACAATATCGATCCCCGAATCACGGATATTATTATATCCGTGACGACTCGTTCTGATTCGGCCGATATTGATCGATTTGAATCCGTGATACATAATATCGGCCGATATATCCAAGTCA